CGTGGAAACAAATGCAGAAGTTGAATGCCCGGTGGAATTTTCCTTTGTAAGTTTTATATGAGCCATAGTCTAAACTCCTTAAAGGGGGTTATATAGGGGATTATATATGGGACTACTATAGGGGTCATTAAGGGGGATACTAGGAGTTTAGACAATGGCTCACATGATGACATGTTTGACTTAACTCTTCAGCGGCATTGGCCACACAGGAGCCCAGACATTCCAGAGAAAGGATATGGTAGCCAAGTGGCGTAGTTCAGGAAAACTCGGGAGCGCGGAGGGTAGATCGACGTTTCCTTGCACTTCAAACCGCCGTACTGTGACAAACCCTTTAAACCCGAAAAAACAGACTCAAGACCCCCAAAGTCCTATAAAAACGCAATCACGAACAGTAAGCTCAAAATCCACGAACCCTAATCTATCAACCCTGCGGTCGTCGAACAGGCGTCTGCAAATCCGACCTCTGCCAGCTTTGCCTGTATCTCCTGAGGGTTCTTCTGGGGCCGCATCAGAAGTTGGTGATATGGAGAGCCATAGAATCTACAGGAACTGTGCTAGGGGCTGCATAGTTTCCCTAAATAGGGGGACCCCAATATAGATCCCATTGCCGGTCACTACACCCATCGCCGAAGTGATTGCGAATGGCCTTGCTAGTCAGTATGGAAGTTTCCTAGAAATTAGGGGTACCATCCTGGGGGGTCCTTAAGGGTGATTATAATAGTTGGGGTCTACAGCCAATATGGGACTTTAGCAAAATTAGGGGTACCATCTTGGGGGTCCTTATTATACTGGTTGTAATCTTTTGGGGCCTATATTGGGGTTCTCTACCTTAGGGACTAAGGGAAATCACCCTCCACGCTTTAAGCATGATGGCTGTCCTAGTCTTGGCTATCTCCTCTTCTAGTTCTACCCGCGTTCTAATTAGGGACTATAATCACTACCTAACCCCATATAATATGTTCCCACATTCCCTGGTAAACCCCAGTAAGCTGTTAGCATTTCATTTTTGACGTTGCTCCTTGGCCAGTGGCTTTCCGGATCCTGTGGCAATTGCCACCCTGAGCAGGTGTGCACTGGGAATCTTAAGATGATATTAAGGGGCTTTAAGCTTACTGGGGGTTTGTAAGGCAATATGTTCTACACGGATTATATAGGAATGTATAGGGATTGAACTCCCTCATTCCCTAATAACCGTTACTGAGCCCATTAGGTAAGGGTAGGTTGTCAGAATAACCATCTTTTAGGTTGCGAATATACCGCGGCCAAAATTGTCAAGGTAGAGTATCACAAAAATTGGGAGGGGGAATATTTTGAACAACTCCCCGCCTGGCTATCCAAAGTCAACTTACAAGGGATACGCCCATGCCCAGGAGGATGGAAGGTTCAAGGTTTACTGTAATGCCCTAAATAGATCTATCATAAACATATTTTTTCAAAATTCCTTAGGGTTATATTGCAAAAAGAAGATTCATAATACTTTCTACGGAAATGACGGTTTATATGTTCCCAAACTAAACCCTAAGGTGGCAACCCGGGAGCCTTTTCCAGGTTTCATGTTCGCTTGTGCCGGGGTAGAACAATAACAGGCTCCTGCACAAACGCATGCCATTTACAGCCCTAAACCCTTTTTTCAACCCAGACTCTGGTCCACGGTAAGCTGGGAACTGCCGTAGGCACACACTACGCACGCCCGGCAAATCGGACTATCCACCCCTCATCGGCAGTCTCGTAACACGAAACCGACATAACAAGCTGAAGCCCTAAACCCTAAACCCTAAAAACCCTAAAACGTGTGACAACAGCAACCCTAGGGCCAGGTGGTTGATTCGAAGTAAGTGCAGGCGTTGGCACACCTTCCTGATGTTCTTTCACAATGCCCAACTACCCCACAAAACGTCCCGAGAAGCTCCCAACGTCACTGCTTCCATTGGTCCTCGTCTTCGCACATTCCGGAAACATGAATGACTTCAATCAGCACCCGTATACGCCCCCTGCCCCTTTTTCCCTCTCATCCCTATAATCTCACCAACCAGCAATAAAGCCCCCTGCCGCCAAACCAACCCCATAATGCTAGTGACTATAACCTGCAGCCTCTTCAACCCCTTAAACCCCTATGATTCCTGAAATCCCTGCTTCCCCTTACAGGAGGCAGCCGGGCCTGCCACCCACTCGCAAAATTCTGTAGATGCCTTGCTGAAGTTGAGGTCCATGGGACGTAATAGCTTGTTAAAACTGGAGTTACACCCCTAAACACAATCCCATATAAGTCGAGCTTGGCGGGCCATCAGTAGGGTTAAAACCCAGTGAGAGGCAGTCATCAAGTCCACTGAACCCCCAAGCGCGAGCACGAGTAGAAGTAGGGGTGCGCGCAGAGGACCCATACTGCTGGCTCACTTTTCATCTCAAGAACGACTACCGCCACTGCGTCATATCACTCTTGCTGCTATTGCGGGTAGTGGTAGTAGTGGTAGAGCACCTGATAGCAAATCGTTGATACGGATAGTCACAACGAGCGATAGTCAGTAATTCCACCTGTTAAACTGGTTTCAGAACACCCCACTACAAACAAATTACAATTCTGATAAATACTCGTAGTTATAGTATAGTCGCGATTGTGATGGCAGTACGCGACAAAATCAAATTTGTGAAGTGGTAACAAGAAAAGAACATGCAACAGTACGGTTGCCAGCGAATACAAAACATCCTGCATGACGCTGAGTACTCAAAACCTTGAACATTATGGGAGTATACTACATCACGCTATACGTTACTATACTCTACTATACTAGACTGTACTGACTATACGATACTGGATTTTACTACACTATACTAAGACCATGCAGGGTTTTGAATACCAACTTAATAGTGAAGTCTTTTGCGGCCAAGGAGCCCTGCAACACAGCTTCCGGGCGCTCGACTTCGTTCCAACCGAAGGACCACCAGACCTGAGAGGGCAACTCCAACAGGATTTAGGGATGTCTACGTAGGGTTTTTAAAGTTTTTAGGATTTAAATTTCTTTTTGAAGCCGGAGGACTTCTCAGCTCCCTTCCTGTAGATGCGGCAAAACACGACAACCCAAACAGGTTTTTAGGGTTTAGGATTTAGGTTTTAGGCCTAAGGGTCTAACACTCGCCTGCGAATATTTCCTGTGTGTAAAGCTCTTTGGAAGTTTGTGCGCGCAATTTACGTTGGTTTCACCACAATTGATGTACAGCTTTCAGGACGTATGGGTGGACATTTGCTGAGATGTAAGGGAGCTTCTCGAAGCTGTCGGCATGTGTTTGGTCAGTCACCGTTCTGGGCGTCTGAATACACATCGGTGTGAACGGTCATTTCTCGGAGATACAGCTTCCTTTTGTAATTGTTCGCCAGAAAGGGCCACCAAAACATCTTGTGAGCAGCTCGGCCATCATTTGACAATAGTAACAGTAAAAGTGCGAGGAACTGGTGTCATCTATGCATGGAAGTATAAAGGCGTAGGGTGGAAGCTGGCCAGGAAGTGAGCTTTGAAATGCCGACGTTCGCCAAGAGCAAGCAAAATAGGGCACCAAAACCGAAAACATGCCACTCAATAGGATAGCATTCTAAGCCGTAAACCCATAAACCCTAGGGTCCAGGTAATCTACTTTGTCAACAAAACAGCTCTCCACTCGCCAAGTGGGTGTGGCTCAACGTGCTGTCCCTCTTGATTGGTGCCCCTGCAACTTAGGATATGCACGCTTGAAAAAAGAAGAGGGAATGTACCCGATGATCCAAAATGAAAATGCGACGCATATGGCGCAACAAGACCGCACTTCAGACCAGGAGAGGAAGGAGAGAGGGAGAAAGAGCCAAACCACCCATGTCATGGAAGGTAGAGCTCGAATTCTTCTGCCAATCTAAAAACTCTAGCCCTGAACCCCATTCAATACCAACTGATATCGTTTGGATCCACCCTATGTAAGGCTCTCATTTGAATGGAGAATCACATGTACGAACATATTATGGAAAATGACATGGAAACTGGAAGTTTATAAAAAAGGCCTCTACAGACAAGTCAGTCAAGCAAAATAACCTAAATGGTATTAGGATCCTTAATAGAGTGAGTTTAAGGTATGCTTGGAGGGTCAAAGGGCCGTAGTAAGTAGGTTAAAAGGGGAATAACTGGGGCTACTATATTGTTATGGGGGTTGTTAACCTACTTATCAAGGTCCCCCTGACCCTCCAAATAATCCCAAATCTAAACCCTAAACCCTATATTGGGGTCCTGGGTGTGAAAGTGAAGGCACATAGTCAATCTGCTGGTCTCGGAATGGAAGCTCTTCAGCATCTGCGCGCAGTAAGAACAGGCCCTGCTCTGGACCAATCTGCTCATCTTCGCTTTCCTAATCTCAGGGATGTTCTTCTTGGTTTTAAGTAGGGAATGGAGGAAGGAATCCCGATGGTAGGCCCTAGAAAACAATGACCAAGGATGTAGTAGCTTCCAGCTTACTTTTCAAGTCCTTCATTGCCTACGAACAACCAGCAACTGAAAGATTGGGGCTAAAGACATATGGTATCAGCCATGCAGAAGAAAACTCACAAACGAGCATCACGTCAGATACGATACTCGGAAGCAAGCAACAAATTGGGTTCGTGGAGACACCACAACTGACGGAATTCTTGATTGGACTGTGTTTCTAGAAGACAAGTACAAAATTCCTCGTACCATCCTGAAGAAGAGCTTGAATTCATATCTTGTGGCCTTTCCAATGACACTCTGTAGCTCCTTTTGAAGTCATTCTGCATGAGCCCGTTTGCAACTCTTCGATCTCAACTTAAAGCTCTCTCTATGCCCAAGTCAAAACTCACATTCTAAACCCACTTTCCCAGCTCTTGAAGTTGTCGAGTCGCTTGCCGGGCCTGGAAGAGAGCCGTTGAGTTGTTGTCCAAGCCTGGTGGAAATGAAGGGCCCAATTCTGAAGAATCAAATGGAAAAGAAAGTAGAAACTGGGATTATGTAGGGTTCCGTGGGCTTGGGGTGTCCAATCAAGCTTCTGAAATGAAGGTAGAGACTAAAACAAGAAGATGAGAATGCCTCCAGAATGACGCAGAAGGATCACTGACATTTGGAAACTATGAAGACACGGTGAAAACCCCAGCAGGCAGGCTGAGGTAGGGATTGGAGCTCGCAAGCCCTAAGCCCTAAATAGTAGTTTTCATTTCGATTATCCCTATATTACCCCCATATGCTATAGTAGTTTCGATTCTATTTTCAATTATCCAATATATCCCCAATACAACCCTATCATTCTCTGTGCTACGAGGCCGCAAGCTGGCAGCATGCGACCAATAGGATCGGAGAGCAATACGCAAGCATATATAACCCCAATATACTATAGTAGTTTGCATTTACTTTTCCACTATCCCAATCTATGTTGGGATAATGCGAAATGAAATGGAAACTATGCAAAGGGTGAACACACACAGAATCAGGATACTACGCTTCACAGGGCTGGGAATCATGTACTACGGTGGGCGGAAAGGCCTGCACCACCTTCTACCAGGCTCCTTCGAGATTGCATTATGCTGCGGATCTTGGATGCAAGATTTCCATCATCCACATCCCGTGTAGTGACGCTAATCGCCGTTAGCACAAAGCTCACAAGACTACCCAGTGCTGAGTAGTGAAGTAGTACCGGATCCCTACAGCAATCCTTATATAATCCCTTATCATAGATCCTATACCCCATTCCTGCATTGGGCACTCGACCGGTGAGACAAGCGGCCAAATACCAGGTCAAATTTCCGCGATGTCCTGATCTCAAAGCTGAAGGCATTTAGAGGATTTCAAAAGTCCGGTGTGAATTTGCTTGAGACCTATGCAAGTTCACGGAATTCTCTGGTGGGATGATGTTTTTCAACTTCGAAGCTTGTTGACGGTCACCTGCAAATGGTCCAACCCAGCAAAGGCGGATTCTGGAAATAGTCCCTTGCCTCAAACCAACATCCTAGAACGCCCTGCAACATTGCTGATTCTTTGTACTCCTAAACAACTTGATATGGGGGTTTATACTGGAGTCCCCCTATTTTGGGAAACTGCTATGTAGAGTACCTAGGGTTTAGTGCTTTGGGGCGTAGGGTAGGGTAGGAAATAGTGGAAAAGAAAATGCAAACTCTTCCTCCATTCCCTCTTACAACCGGCAAAAAGAGAGCTTATGCTTGGCTACTGCCCTTTGCCCTGTGCAGACTGAGACGTCTCGAAAGGGGTGGCCATAGGGAACCTGGAGATACTAATTAATATAATAGAATATACTGAAAATATAACAAAAACAATAAAGAATATTTAGTAGTATAACATAACATGCAATATAATATCATATAAAAAAATGAAATATGTGATGAAGGTTACAGGGGTCCGCCTTACAGATCATCGGGGGCCCCCCAGGTCCACACGCCACCAAGCCGTTTTAAGCCAAGCCATAGGTGGACCTCCACCCTGTAATGGTGACTATAAGGGATAAGGGTAACTATATTGGGGTCCTCTTGTATTCCGATTATCGCACTATTACAGGGTGGAGGGTTCACTTAAGCCAAGTTGTTTGAAGTCATAGAATCAACAACTTTGGACGGGCCGCGCGAAAAGACGGCTCCCATCACCAGTGCCACATCCAATGTCTAGCACGACGCCGCGGTCTTCAGCCTCGCAAGGGCAATCAATTTCAGCTTCGAGCCTTAAAGGTTTCAGGTTCCCTTTCGACTCTATAATATAGAGATAATGGAACCATTGAAACTACAATATTTGGTTTAGGGTTTAGGGTCTAGGTATAACGGAAAATAAAATGGAAACTACTATAGTATGTTGGGGTTATGTTGGGACAATGGAAAATAAAATGGAAACTACTATAGTATATCGGCTTCTGAAGTCCCTATTGTACTTTATACTCCCCTTTTTCTAGAGGCGCTAGGGTACTTTATATTCCCCTTTTTCTAAGGTCCCTTGAGTACCCTCAGTTTGAGAAGCCTCAGTTGAGGCTCGTCATGCCTAGGGTTTCGGGCTTAGGGTTTTGTAGGACTTGAAGTGGTAGTTTCTAGAAATAATACGACCCCAAGATAGACCCCAATAATCCTTCTCATGGTGAGCAGGAAGGCACCCCTAACTTTAAAATAACAAGCCTAGACCACTCTATATTCCGAGTTTCCATTTCATGTTCTGTTTGATTCCGCAGTAGTACCATGTAAGGAACCAGAAAGACGGTACCCTGACTTCAAAAAACGAGTTCTTCTTCAAGAACCGTGAAGGAAACAACCCCTTGCCTCACGGTCCTTCTTGAAGAAGACCTGCAGCATCAATTTAGGGTTTAGGGTTTAGGGTTCGGGATTTAAGGTTTTACCCCAGAGTATGTGGAACACTTGCTTTTGTGGCTCGTTTGAGAGGCTTTCGGGCCAGGGTTCCACGGAGTGGCGGTTATGAGCTTGACATCAAACAAGGCGAGTAGTCTCTCCCCTTTGAAAGTACGCACCACCCTCACCACTAGCACAAAATACGTCACACACTACTATCTAGGAAGCTGCTGATGTAGTTGAGGTCTTTTGGGTTGGGTACCAGGGTATTTGCAATTAGGGAATGGCTTAATGTCAATGCATAGTTGCAGTTTTCAACAGCAGCCATAAGCTTCAAAAGCAAAAGACAGATGGCCATGGAAAGAGGGTTCGACTGTCTATAAAACGGGCCATGTGAACTGTTAATAGGTGGAGGCAATACCCAAGTTTGACCTAACGATAGAATTGTAGCACGCGAGTTCCTAGCTTGAATGATATCAACCTTATCAACCATTGTTGTAACACTGCGTGTACCTGTAAAGCTGCTGTTGGCCATGATCCTTAGAAGCATGGGACTTCTCAAAACCCCTGGCTCCTTTGTGAGGGCCCCTGTCATCATCGCAACAATGGTATGTGTTTTCGCCCTTCTTGTAGAGTACTACAGGCACAAGAAAAATCTTACTGCGCATTAGGGACCGTAGTAGCGCCCCGACGTAAGATGCCTAAACCACATCAGCTTCAGAACTTGGAAGAAGGCGACTACTTAAAATGAAATTTAGGGTGAATTCCGTGAGGTTGTTGTTACTTGCCCAGGTCTTCGACACTGTAGTCCTCCTTAAGTAGATAGAAGATGGCATTGGGAATATTATAATAGGATCCATATATACCCCATATTCTATCTACTTAAGGGGGACTATTACCCACTTGTTGGTGTGCAGCCGAACTGGACTCTGCATTGCCTGCGCAAAAGCGGCATCTCGCAACCTCCGGTTAAGAGCTTACAAGGACTACGTGGAGAAGATCGATAAGGGCCGAGCAAATGGATAAGGGCTGAACAACAGAAATTTTGACAAAAACAACAAAAACACGCTCCCAACTAACAACTGGTTTAGGATTCTGGGCCGGGGCCTTATAAAGAATTGGCAAATCATGGCATTTTGTGGACCCTTCATGAGTACACACCTGAGCGAAAAAGGGCATGCCCACTTCTCACTGCTTTTTAAGACTCCACATGAGCTATAATCTAAACTTGTAATATCCCCCTTAATAATCCCTATAGTAGCCCCCCCTATATAACCCTCTTAAGGGGGGGGATTAGAGTCCATCCTTGGTGGATCCTGCAACTTACTGGTGCTTAAGGTGGAGTGGGGGAAGGCATGTAGGGACGATTAGAGTGATTATATAGGGGTTCTTATGAGACTCCACTCCCCCTTAAGCACCAGTGCGGCAAGGTTCCCTCAACTTCAGCTAAAAAATCTCTTCTCCTGCGTGCTGGTGGACAGGGACTATACTACAGCAGTCCTGCTTCACAATCCTGACCTTCTAGGCCAGGTAGGAACACCCACAACACAGCACTTACTGCCTCGAATTTAAGCCTTTGACAGAACGGTTGCTTCTTTTGCATGCCCAGCCCAGGATTTTTGCAAGTTTGTCAGTTAAACAAGTGGGTTAGCAATTGTCTACAGAATGAGCGCAGAAAAAAGCACGCGATGGGGTTGATTCCGTAAATTCGAGGGACATGTCAATCATCAAGTAATCGAACCCTGCTCACGAGAAACCTAACCATGATGGGTTAGGTGGGGGTCTTGGTTGCTATTGACTCTTTCTTAGTACCTGCTTCATCTAAAGTTCGAGCTCACTAAGAAACGGCTTTCCCTCTGAAGCCTCTGGAATACGGCTGTGTAATAATCAAAGGTCTGCCGCCCAGCTCCAGAAAACAGGTCCATTTCCATTACAGCTGATCTTACTGCTGTCCATGCCGCCACCGCCACCATCACCACCGCCGCCACCAGCAGCAGCAGCAGCAGCAGCAGCACCACCACCACCACCAGCACCACCACCGAAACTACCACTGCTGCTGATCATACAACGAATTCACTTCCTGCTCCCGCCACCACAACCTATAGTGCTGCAGCAAAAACCATTCCAGCCATGCAGCGGATCGGGCTTCTGCATGGCTCCACTGTCATGGGCTTGCCAGCCCAGACTGTATTCGATTGCCCGAGACATCTGCTTCTCGTATGGCTCAATTTTGACAATCCTGGGACAATGCGAACATTTTGATTCTACATGGGTACACTGATCGTCATTTACTGTCAGAAGCCAGACCCCCTTTGCGGGGTACGTGCCCACAGAACCTGCAAACGCAAAACTTAGCTTTGATGCCTCCAAACCAGATGATGATTGCACAGAAAGCGCTTGTTTGATCTCTCCAGTAGGATGTGATCTTATCTAAGCAGCCTGAGGGGTTATCACCACTAAGTAGAATTACGCCACATACTACGGTCAGCACACTGGCATCAGCATGGTTGTGGCCAAAATTGCAGGATCAGGCAGTACAGCTGTGAGCAACTGCTTGCCAAGCTGCTGGCCCTTATTCAAGCGCATTAGCGCCTGCTGGTAGAACTCATAGGGCTGCTCCTCTCCATCCGGGTTCAAGTACGTCAGGACTTCGCTGGGGAGCCAGGCAGAAAATCCATCATCCGGTGAGAGCCACATGACAACTTCCTGCAGACGCTGGGGCCATCAAGGATAGTAGCCATTCCCCTTGCAACAACAGGAACATTGAACACGATACTAACATCACAGGGACCACAAAAAAAGTATAGGTTTTAATAGGACCAGTAGTATCTGTGATAAAGGCCAGCCCGTAACGAGCAAGGGTCTCACATTTCTAGACTCGTGTTTTCTATTTCGGTGCTTAGCCAGCAGGACTTGAACAACTGGTGCCCATCTTTGCCGACCATCTGTCCAGGGCCACTTGCCCGAAAAAAACACAAGACTCCGTTGCAGACCTTTTTCTGTAATACCCTTGGACCTGCGATAAACATTAGTTCCTTTGGGTTATGCTACGATGAAAAAACCATTTAGCTGTTTTCAAAACTATGGGCCCCTTTCGGTTCTAGATATTACGGCAACTAATAGTGAGGGGTAACAAAATGGGACCCTGATTTTTGGGAACTACCCCACTGGCTAAGCGGAAGAGGATGGGTATTTTCGCCCAGACGCTGTGAGCCCTGTGTCTGGGTCGTCGAACTGCACAGTGCCAGTTTGACCCGCCAGGTTTTCCATTCCCCACTCCCAGCGAACTTCCCTGGGGCGATGGTTCAGGATTGTGTATTCACGTTACAGTACTGCTGTCTTCCATTAGTACGTTCTGAGTGAAGATGAGATAACTTGATGATTGTTAATCTCCTCTCCCTATTGAAATCTCGCTCTGGCAGTTCATGTTGAGGATAGTCTTCATGAGTAGGCTGCATGGCGGGTTCCACTCTCAGGAGGAGGGGATTACCTCTCAAGATATGGGTCCCCTCATATACTACCTGAAAATAACACAGAGGCCTCAATAATTACCAGCATTACCCGCAAACGTTGTTTAGTTCTTATAGTATATGGGAGAGCAATCCAATCGTCCAGCTAGCTTAAACAAACCCTCAGAGAAGCCAGGCTCTGAACGGTACCCCAAGAAGACCTCAACATGATATTGGTGATTCTTTAGGTGGACCCCCCACCCAGTAATAGTGACTATAAGGGATAATAAGGATCATATTAGAGTCCTCTTATATTCCTATTAATCCCTATGACAGGGCGGGGGGTCCTCCTAACTGATTCTACAGGCTTCTACATAAGCACCCTTGCTTCTAGAAACCCACATAGGGACCCAAGCTGTTGATGAGCTCCCAATGACTTTTTCCCTGCTCAGCAAGAGGTGCTGTAGCAGCACAATGACAAACACGAGGGATTTGAGGCATTCAATTTCCACGGACCAATGTTCAGAACCTACGCCTTAATGATGGCAAACACCATTCTTCTTTCTGACGCCGCCTTGGTACTACCACACGCACGGCACGCCTACCAATGCCCCTCCACTGACGGCAGGCAAAAGGAGGAGGAGCGGCAGCAGCAGCCGGAGCAGCAGGAAGCCACTATATGCTAGTTTCCTAAAATAAGGACCCCAATATAGACCCTCATAAACTATAGTCCTCATTATTGGGACCCCCCAAAAAGGTACCCTAATTTTGGGAGATCCTCATATCCAACACTACAAGTTTCACACAGCCAACCAGCGCCGCCTGTGATTATCCACAGCATCCCGCAGAATTGACAGGTCCGCCACCCTTACCTGGTGGCAAGAACAAGGGGTTTAGGGTTTAGGGCTTAAGTTTGGGAATTAGGGCTTAGGGTTTAAGTTTGGGAAGGTGGGCCGTCTAGAGCCCGCCAAATTTCAGGTTGACCCTAAAGTTAGGACAGTTAGGGGTGGTCATCGTAGAATGCTTGTAAAGCCAGCCATTAAAATGGAGAGACTCCAATCGTGGGTAAGACCCCTTCTTAAACCCAAGAAGCCTCACAGAACACACAGCCCTGCAGTCTGTATTTCTCGTTAAAGCCCCGCACAGATAGAGCCCACCAAAAGACAAAGCCCTAATTCTTGCAAACTTCCAGCCTTTCGCTCCTCCTCCTTTGCGTCGCCAGTGTCTTCCCCTGTCTTATCGAACTCTTTTCCTGGGTGACTGGGTGGGTTTGTTCTGAACCCGGAGCAGTGGAGGGGCTTAGAGATTTATCAATTAGGCTTGTCGTTCTCTTGCAGCAAGGAACCCTTCCCCCTAGCCATAAACTGGTACCTTGCAAAAACTCATGTTCGCTTTGAATGCTGGAGGATCCAAACTTCCCTGGACTTAGTCCCCAATTCCATGCCCGTCTTAGATCCTAAGCCCCAACCCCATTCTGGGCTGCAGGACAACAAGCTGAACACGTTGCTTGTTATTTGAAACTATCGTCTCCTTAGACCTCTACTCAATATGTTTTCAGTAACTACTTAGGGATATACTGTAAAAAGATTCATTTCTAAGGAGACTGCAGACAAGTCGAGGTTCGGCGCTCCTCATCGCTGAGAATACGGTAGGCCAGGAGCCTCATTTTTTGCTGTCTCAAGGTGAGGCGAAACTGGGTAGCTGTTGAGAAACGTAAATGAAGCTACCACAATGGGTATATATGGTTAGGAGTTAATATGGCTTCCCCAGTATAGATAGTAACTTAAATTAAGTTCCTTAACAGCAAACCAGTCAAGGTAAGGAAAAATCCTTCGAGGGCTTAGCCACAGGTGAGTAGCTATCAGGCGGGCACTGGCATCATGATATGAATCAGGCTCATATGATGCTCATATACATGTACTGCGGTTTGCGTTCAACCTTTTATGAGCCTACCAACCTCATATGAGCCATGGTCTAAACTCCTAGTATCCCCCCTAATAGCCCCTATAGTAGTTCCCTATATAATCCCCTATATAACCCCCTTTTAGGGAGTTTAGATTATGCCTCATATCTGCCTAGCTGGAACTCTCCTTGGGCCCTGTATTCCTCTACGAGGCGCGCAGGATGAAGTCACAAAACTAAGTTTACCTTCTACCTGGACCCCAAAAGTATGTAAAATGATGGCCTTTATGGCTATCATTAGGGGTTTAGGGCTATTATTTTACATGCTTGTGGGGTTTAGGTAGAGTCTAGAGGCAAATAAGGAAAGTGATGCCCACGCCACGCGCTGAATCCTAAAGCCTGCACCCACATATCACCTGAACCCAACCCCTGTTGTACCTTACACCCTGAACTCACGCAAACCCTTAAAGCCAAAAAGAAATCTCAAAACCGCAAACCCCTCAATCCAAGGAACACATCCTGGAAGGCCACTGCATCGCCCCCTGTGTCTGGATGGGTCTCCTTTGCCAGCTTGATGTACCTGGGCTGAAGGGGCCATCTGGCATGTCCATACAGATGGGTCTCGCTTGGAGGCGAGGTTTGTAATATAGTCAATATAGTGAGGTGATCTCTACGGGCCTCTCGTCGGGATTTGAGTGCTGAAAAGGAAAGGGATTACTCAGCGGCTGTTTAACTTCTATTTGGTTGTCTAGCTTCACGGCCAAGTTCCCTGGCCCAAAAAAAAGAGATTAACCTGGAAATTGCAATAGGATCAGATGTACACCCCTATACTGCTAGAAGCGCCATGCCCAAAGCAATGCTCCAATGCCTGGGGTGGTGCCACGCTTGGCGTTCCCATTGAGCTTTCGGTAATGGATTTACAGTCCCCTCTAAGTAGATAGAATATGGCTTTGGGTATATTATAATAAGATCCCCACATACCCCATATTCTATCTATTTAAGGGGGACTATATCCCGTGGTCCCTATCTGCTAGGTGAAAGCGCATTTCTAACCCAAACCCCTTTTCCTTATGCTCGTGAAAATCTGTAGACCAAGGCTACCACAGAACCTTCAACCCTAAACCCCAGTCCCCCAACCTGAACCCGGAAACAAAATCCCAAACTATGTGAGGTCTAAAACCTCAGCCCTGAAAACTAGATCCTACACTCTATATAGACCAATCAAGTTCGGTCTTAGCTGCGCTTTTCTGATCTCTTTGAGCGTCGCATCGGTTGCAACTCCCAGAGTGATATATGGATCCTTGATTACTTGGAGGGTCATGGGGACTTGATAAGTAGGTTAATGACGCCCTATAAGCCATATAGTGGCCCCAATAATTCTCATTATTAACCAACTTACTAAGTCTCCATGACCCTCCAAGTAACGTTGGCGTGCTTGAGAGTAGCACAGCCAGACGCATTCAGTGGTACGCATGGGTACTATTCGGACTGATTGCTGCTGTGGTGATTGGTTGCCACTAGCCAGTGCTGCGCCGCTTCAGCAACTGCTGCTGCTGCTGCTGCTGCTGCTGGTGCTGCTGCTGGTGCTGCTGCTGGTGCTGCTGGTGCTGTCTCTTTCTGCTTCTACTTACCCTCCTGCTGCCATTCTTGTCATCATCATCATCATCATCATCATCATCTTCGTCATGGTCATGGCCAGCACCTCCCCTCATCTCCACCAGCATCTTCGAAAGTTTGGCACGCACATCTTCAATTGCAGGGCTGATGCAATATGTTGCCCAAATGGTTTCCTACAACTGCTGTGCTGCGCACCGTCTAAGACTACAGTCTGCCTGCAGTCGCAGTCAGTGGACACAACAAGGAGGACTAGCAAACTCCCCAAAGTAGACAACAGCAAGATTGTTCCACAATCTCACTGGCGAAGTAGAAAATGAAGGCCCACAGTTATCACAAACCTCAGATCTCAAAATCATGTACTTGGTCGCTTCCTCTAAGAACCCATGACAGCACCTAAACATGAGTAGTTTCCAAAAATAGGGTGACGCCTTATAGACACAAATGCTCTAGAATCCCTAGTTTCGGGAAACCTCCATATCCCCTTGCAGTTCCATGTCTGGCACAGTGGCTGGAGCTTCTTCACTCTCCTCCTCCTTTCGCTTGAGCCACCGCCGGCGAAATGGCGGCTCGTCCGAGCTTGCAGGATTTTCACGTCTCAGGCATTCCTTGGAACTAGGGTTTGGGGTTTAGGGTTTAGGGTTTAGAGTTTAGGGTTTAAAGTTTAAGGTTTAAGGTTTAGGGTTTATGGTTTAGGGTTGCGGGTTTAGGGTTTAGGGAATATGTTGTATAGGGATTATACTATATTGTATAGGGATCCTATTATATAGGGATTATATTGTACAGGGGTTATACTGTATAGGGATTGTATTTTATTGTAGGGGGGTCATATTATAAAGGGATTATATTGTATAGAGGTTGTATTGTATAGGGATCGTATTATATCATAGAGGGGTCATCTTGTATAGGGACTATATTGTATAGGTATCATTATATTGTATAGGGATTATAGATTTTCCCACTAATCAAAAACCCCACCCCCTTCTCAGCTATTTCCCATCACGGTATCTTAATTTAGTACTGGGGAACATTTTTCAAGGGGTCTGCTTCATGACAGGGACAAAAGACTAGTAACCCTCTCCTTCATATCATGCGCATAGTTTCTACGCCTCTCTTGATTAAGTTCTACCAACAAGCTGAGCTAAGTCTAAACTCCTAGTATCCCCCTTAGTATCCCCATATAATCCACTTTAAGGACTTTAGATTGCAGCTCATATGACTGATGGCATTTTTCTGTGCGCCCTGCTCTTCCTCCTTTTTCCTACTCTCCTTCTGATTTGCTGCCACTGTTGGTTATACAAGGCTTCCGAAAAATACATGAACGTCTCATCTTCATTGTCCTCGCTACTGTGCCAATCTGATAGTTTCCAAAACAAGGGGTTTCTGGGTGGCTTCCCGCAATGAGCATGATGGATTTCAGCGGCATATAAGGGGGACTCTTTCCTTGGAAACAGCTACCTAAAATTCCCCAGACCCCTGAGAGAATCTAGAAAGTAGATCCCCCTTAAGGGTTCCTGGAAATTGCCCAGTAGTATGCTGCCAGGGGTCTGGGTCACTAGGTTCTTTAGCGCTGCTTTTCCTACGTTCTGGCGTCTCGGGGCTCCATCGGGCTGTAGCCTGACTGGTGCATGCCCTCAAAAAGCTGCCTTGTCACACGAGCTTTCGTCTAAACTCCTAGTGTCCCCTTAAAACCCCCAGGGCTTAGGGTTGGGTCTGAACCCCTGGTATCCCCGTTACTGACCCCTGTACTACCCCCCATAGGCTCCTATATAACCCCGTTTAAGGAGACTAGACTGTAGCTCATATGAGGGCTTCCATAGATTAGTGGTCTTTTTTACAGGTCATCTACACTAGACCCCCCGTTCCTTAGAAAACCCCATATGACTTACATGTCCCCAAGTATCAAGATTCTAGCGAAAAGGAGCCCTCAAAAAGAGATGCACCAACGAGTCCTCTGCTCCTGGAGTCTCCAAAGCATACCGACCTCGCAAGAACAACCTTCTACTGGGTTGCTGTTAAGGAACTTAAATTAAGTTACCATTATGGGTATACATATTAAGTAATATGGTTTCCCCAATATTGTACCTTAAACTAAGTTCCTTAACAGCAACCCAGTCTAACATCTCCGATAGCATACAAACTTACCCGAAGCCTGTTCAAAGCCCCTAGACTCCCTAGACCCCCCTTTTTGAACCCAGGCTCATGATGTTAGCTGGCTCAACAGGACTCCACTATACAAGCCCTGCAAAGACCCCCCTAAACCCTAAACTGAATTCCGCTGGAGCTTCTGCGATGTAACCGGGCACTTTCCCGTCGTAGCCAGGACCCCAGCAGCGAAGGCCCTGGAGGGGTTAGGATTCAGGCCTAGGTAGGCATACCTGGACCCTGGATGTCCTTCCTTTTTGGGGGTTCTGTCCTACATATTTATAGGGTATATCCCTAAAAAGGTAGGACATCCAGGATCTAGGCATTTCTTGCTTTCCAAAGTAGTAGATTGTGACAATAGTGCTGTCCAAAGTAATAGTTAATTGTAAGAGACTATGGGAGATTGAGTGGCCTTGCTTGAGTTCTAGTTTCTCAATATGGGTGACCGCATTAGTACGACTCTTACCATGGGACCATGAAGGCGCGCAAGACTGTAAGTCTGAAGCAATACCGCGAAAGTTGCTGGGACCCAAAAAATCACTCATTACTAAAACCACCAATACCGACACTACCAAACGGCTACAGCTTGACAAGACCTGTACTCAACCCCAGACTCTGTTCTGCTTGGTGGTGTCGGTGTTGGTCCCTGCATACCATAATCAAGGCCTCCTTGAAAACAAATAGCAGACCTCCAACCTATCTGGCTCCACCGCCTACTCTAGACTTACTGGTGGATGGTTCGGAAGGCAGGAAAGTTTTCCTCTAGCTCTAATCCCTCATCACGGCCCATATACTTCCATTCCGTCACCTAAACTCTTAAGAAGTCAAGTAGTCTTCAAGGGTTTCAGGCTTGTACCCCGACGACACACCAGTAATGCAGAGGCCAGAAGAATTGGCCTAAACCTTGCATAAACATGGCATTAACAATGCCAACAACAACAGCAATGACCAAAATACTATTAATAGCACTAAGACAGATTACGGTAGCAACAATGAGACTAGGAATAACTTCTTTAGGATACGAAGAAAACAATAACAACGAGAATAACCGTGTAAAAATCAGCACTGCTCGCCGTACTGTCGGCGCGTAGATGATGACCAACGTGGTTAAATTTTGTGGTCTGCTTGAGGCACCCCCTTCACATAAGTATACAAGGAGTTTAGGTCCATCAAATGGCAATCATTCCTATAAATCCCCTCTACAAAGCCCTATGTCAACCCAGTTTCCATTTCAGTTTCCACTTTCGATTCGTCATTGAGGTCACCTATATATGTGTTTGTATGCAGCTGTATATGCCCTAAACCCTCTCGCACAAATCTGTGGCCTCAGCTTGAAAGGCGACATCCAGGGCTTCCCAGGGTGTTTTTTTCAGGTCTACCGGCGGAGCCTCAGTCGGAGTTTTTTGTCTGTGTTTTTTTCCGTCGGACCGTTTTCCAGCTGCCGGAATACTTGGCTGAGTAGGGTCAGAAAAAATCACTCCCCTGCGCAGCCCCTTCACGGCGCTAGTCAACTGCAGAGAAAAGGGTTTGGGGTTTAGGGAAGAGGAAAAAGTTTCGGTTAGGATTTAGGGCTTTTACAGCTGTGGGTTTGGGATGTAGGATTTGACAGGGTGCTGGAGGCTTATTACCACAATGGTGGAGAATCCAATGACACAAGACATGGAAACGGCTATATATTGGGATTCTAGAGCGCTTCGCAAAACAGAGGGCATTGAAAGCTCTAGGGATATGTGGGGTTTAGGTGTTATTGGGGAATCCAGAAAACGTTTCACACTTGTAATCACTCCTATGCTCATGCAGCAAAAAGGGGATGATGTTGAGAAACACCCGGGCCAAAGCAAGCTAAGGCCCCTTCTAGCTTGCAATAAGGGGGGTTCAAAGAATGGGAGGCCCCAAGGTAGACCCTTGTACGCTATGATCCTCACCATAAGAGCTGCCAAAAGGGGCCCTGAAGTCTGGAATTCCCCACACGAATTCCAAGCATGAAATATGTCCATTTGGGGACTGTTGAATATTGTACGTAAGCTTCTTTGGGGTGCGGTCCAATGAGGTCCTCATGATTCGCCTACCACATCGTGCTTTTGCTACTGCACTACTATCAGTCTGTAGTTTCCTAATTACAGCTTTCGCTTGCCATGATTGCCAGTGCTGCCCTTGGCACAATGCCAAAGCTGCATCAAGTTCTGCTAGCCCCTCTTTCAAAATGCACCAAAACCAACCCCCGTGCCCGACATTCTGAAACCCCACAATACTTCATTTGTGCAAGGCTCCCAGAATAAACGCCAGGGTGCCAACTCATTGTCAAGCTCTGCCACCTCCTCCGTATCGATCTCTGCCACCTGGGAGGCCCAGTATACTCCCCCACAAGAAGCGCCATAGAACCCTTGGATAGATATACGTGCGTATTAGGCGTTTGACTCAAACTGCGCACACTTGAGCTGGAGTCAAGTTGACAAGCATATACCGCAAAACATATTATCTAGCTACATATACAATTGCCTGAATGCCTTCTCTCCCTTTTCCAGCAACTTCCCACCTCCTCTGCCACTGCACTTCGCGGCAGACCAGCTGTTGCTCTTCTGCGCCCGTCCTGGACTTCTTGGAGATGCCCCAGATTGTTGAGAATATGCCATTGGTGTGACCGCGATCAGCGCAATCTGTAGTAGCTGTAGGTGGTAGTCGCCGCGATAGCTACGACTATCATGCTACCGTGATCGTGATGACGGTGATAACCACAATGTAGACAGGCGTCTCGGCTACTGCGGCCGCTATACTACTACCACGACCCCTGCTGCGGGTGCCGCTGCTGCTGCTCCTGCGGTTGCGGAGTTGGTGGCAGCGAGGGAGTTGGTGCGGTCGGTGGCAGTTAGATCTCAACCGAAATCAGACTGGATTTTGCAAGAGAGGGTGAAAGTTTATTAGTAGAATAAGGCTTCTCGAACAGCTTCTGCCGGCCTGGCACCAACCCAAGGAAAACAGCAGTCCTTCTGAGTCCAGGGTCCCTTCGTGACAAAGACTAACGTCAAACCTCAGCTTGTGGCGCTAAAAGTTTGGGGGCCCTATGGCGTTAAGCCAAACATGGGGTTGCAGGGGTGAATTTTTGGGAAGGGAAGCGCCCACGACTAGAATGCTGTTCTCCACCCCTGAAAACCCAGCACCAGATAATGCACATAACTCCTCACTTCCTTCAACCACAGTGCAAGGTAAACTTGTGAAGCGCATTTGCAAGTAATATCTGCAGCACTCTGAGGCCCAGGTCCAATAGTACTCCCTTCCCAGGCTGCGGTAAAAATCTCTGCGGAACATTACTGTTGAGCTCCAACCAACTACCCTAAACCGTTTTGTTGCAGGCCTGGCTTTTTTGCTGCAGGCTTGCCCCCTGAACAGTAAACCCTCTCGCGTGCCGATCAGGTTTCACGGTGGGGGATCAAGTTTCTACATCCTTCCTGGGCGTATAGTTAAGTTTTACAAGCTTATGCCCCTACAAAGGAGTGAAGGAATGGATCCGATAGCCCGAAAATACAGTAATTTCCATGCTCTTGTCCATTCCGCCTTGCCACGTTGACTAGAGGCAAGGAAGGAGACTGCATTATACCCCTAAACTCCTAGATACCCTCAATCTCCCTCCATGTACCCCATATACTTTAGGAGGACCCCCCACCATGAAATAGCGGTATAATAAGAATATAGGAGGACCCTAATACAATCCCTATTATCCCTTATAGTCACTATTACTGGGTGGGGGGTCCACCTAAACCCTAAACCCTAACTCTATATTGGGTACCACAGTATACATAGACTCCTATCACAAAGGCCCTGAATTACAAAAAATGCTGTTCAAAGCGAGCTGCCCCAGAGCGGCAGGGAGCTTACCTGGGTCCGCTTTGGGGTACTGATAGATTCTAGGGCTTCTAGGGTTTAGGGGTTTAGGATTTAGGGTTTCATAGATTCTGGGGTCTAGGGCTTTTTACACCAGAGGACCTTTGTGTCTGCAAAGCACTGGTGAGTTGGAAATGGGACTCAATCCGTCTGAGTTTAGGGTTTATAGGGCTTAGGGACATAGAATTATGACTGCATTGTCCTAAATATGCTTCAGGAATGACATTGGGGTACTACGAAAAATCATGTCACTCATTACTGGGTCTTTCGCATGATGGCATTGGGGGCCCTTTGAAAATCTCTCTGCACCTTCCTTTTGTGTGTGTTTTTTGTGCTTATTTAGCGTCCTATTTATAAACGCATTTTGGTATATTCTTCATATTGGGTTTTAGTAGCATTTTTCCGTGCTGTGAATTTAATATGTCATAATCCTTATCTTGCTTTTCTTTCATCGAAACTTTGGAACTGATTTCCAACGTCGACCTCGTTACGGCGAGAGAAAAAAGCCGCGGCTTTCGTCGAGCCATGGCTGGGATGCGAGCTGGAAAATGGAAACTATTACAATGGTTTTTTGGGATGATGGAAGATTAAATGGAAACTATTAAAATGGCTTATCTTGGGGTTATATTTGGGTGGAACAAGGACTTGTTTGGGAATCTCCTGCATCTACATTGAAAGAAAAATTCCCCCAAGACAATGCATAGTAATCATATTCCCAACAGCTTATTGTGTATAGAGCTATCTTCATTGTCAGGGGGAGGGGGGGGTTGCATTAGGTGGAGGGCTTCTCCTAAGGAACAAATGAGCTCAACAGGAACTCTATGCGGGATCTTAGGGAAACTGCTGGTGCTTCCTTCCTCCATGCAGGCCAAAGCTTCTATCCCTTGCGGATGCGGAGGTAGCTTCATGCAGGCTGTTCAGCCAACTTCTTTTGTGTTTCTGTGGAAGGACATGTAATTGCTTCTCACCTTGTAGAGTAAAAAGGCTGTGCACTCAGGGGCGAACACTGTCTGCAATTCCCCTGGACCTATAATAGAAATGGTATTCGTACTGATTCCCAAAGATTGTACTATCTTCTATGAAAATGAAAGGTTGCATGGGGACCCTTGCTAAAAAAGCTGCACTTGAAAACGCTTCATCCGCACGCGAAAGAGCACGATCAACAACTGTCTGGCAAGCTTCGCTAAGGTCCCGGGCTGTGTAGGCAGGGAGTCAGGCAGACCATGAACAGCGTCGCAGGCTGAGGGCAGATAAGCTCAAACAAACATAGCTCACCGCTTAGCCGACAATGGAGGAGTGGATTTCCATAGTAATGTGTGCCCAATGCTAGTGCTAGTCCTTGTGGTCCATCCTTCCTCTATTCCCAACTAACCACCACTAAGGTTGCGAAGGCACGGCTGAAAACCAGGGCCCACCTGTCGCGGCATCAGCTTGTTAAGCAGGCAGAGTGCCCCACAGCCTTTAGGTGTTGAAGAGGCACTTCGTCGAAGAACATATACCGCTACTATCGTGGCAGTAAGAAATATTGGTAAACATATGACTATACATCATATGGGTAGTTCCCAAAATTAGGGCCCCATTTCGGTACCCCTAAATATTAGGTGCCGTGGTGTACTCCATAACCAAAAGGGGCCCATAATTTTGAGAACAACCCATACACATGCTAGCATGTTTGGGGTGCACCTGTCTTCCTGCAGCAGCTCCAAACCTGGGAAGCCATTGCACTTCTACACCCCGTGCCCCGAAGGCAGTGAGACAGAGCTACCTAAGTAGGACCTCTTATGGGTACCTCTAAAAGGGTCTATAGGGACTGGGGGCCTAACGCAAAGTCAAGCTGTAGTAATGTAGGATGTTGTCCATCAGCCATATACCGCGGAATCCTAACTACATACCAATATGATGTTCAGGTGTATTTGAGGTATACCATGCTCATACAACAAACTAGGACCAGAATAGTGACAGTTCTTGAGGCCCTACGCTAACTTTTCCGCACCATACTTCGCAGGGCTTGTACTATCACAGTACGAGTAATTACCTCTATACCCGAAACCCTCGAGTCCATGATAAGGTCAGTGGTTATCCCGACCGAATAACAGGGACCCTGTAAAGGTCATAAGATAATCACAGGGTTCTCTTTTTGTGGGTGGGATTGCCAATACCACGCCCGATTGCTTAATGTAACCCCGTATATAACCCTCACCTTCTCCACTGTGAACCCTGAACCCTCTAGCCTATCATATACCAGCATAATCCCTATATCCCCCTGTAGTATTCATATGCCTGGATCTTAATTCCTATATCCCTCAATTGACATGCCTGGATCGCAGGCCTTCATGTGCTTCAGGTGGATCAGCGTGCAGAGGTCCTGGTTGAAAAGCTCGAGGGCAGAGAGAGCAGGATCTAAGGCTTCGAAGAGTTTCCAGAACTCAGTAGTCCCTGTAGAAGGGGCTATAAAAGGTGTGCATATGTATATGCATGCGTGTGTATATATATATGTATGTATTGACACGTAAGGTTTCCATAATTTCGCAGCGCCTTGCTTGGGAGTCCTCTTTTGTCCCGATCATGAGGTATCAGGGTCTATATTGGGCCCTGAGCTCTGAACAATATTGTGGCCCCCTGCTTCCCCTGTTTATGGAAATCCCATCTGGCAGTAGCATCATACAACATCTGGGCAGGCGGCCATTCTCCGGACCAGGTCTTCAGGTGTCTTTCCGTGACTGTCCTGCTGCTGCGTAAATTGTCCACTAACTAGTTCATTCCAGTATGAGACATACCTCCCAAAAGACGAGGAATATCTAATTGCGAGAAGTGAGGGAGACTGTTCTTAGGATCAAGTGGTTCTTACTGCCGCTCAGACTGTAATGCTAGTACAATTGACATGAAGCGTAACATGTGATGTCCCCTGCAGCCGCAGTCATGTACACGCCCTTCCTACGCAAGTTTTGCAAAGTCAGGGCCCCTGAGCCCCCCACAAATCATAGAACGATCCCCTTCAATAAGCCATTTAACCATCCTACCTTGGATTGAGACATCCCATCGCGGGCCAGGCGCCTGAGCCCGGAAAGCCGCTAGTCCACCGAGAGCACTCTGGTGGACGTTGCAGACCTGGGCCACTGAGCCATTCAGACGTCGAAAAATCATTGCTTTTCATGATTCTACTTCTAGTGTTCTTGGCAGAATGATAATAGTAATTAATAGTAAAAGTAATGGTAATGGTAATAGTAATGGTAGTAATAATGATACTAGTAATATTAATAAGAGCATGAGGTGGAAGAGGAGTCTTCAAATTAGGGTCCTGTCTTTGTTTTTGCTTCGCTTGTTTTGTTGTGTTTGGGTTGCTACTGTCATTGTGGCACATGTAAACTCAATGAATAACAGGCGCTCAGTATACGGAGTGAAGCTTCACTACAGCTGGAGCCAAACCCTTGAAACATACGCGCGCTAAAGCTTAAAACAAACACCCTTTAAACCATGAAGCCTCCGCCCCACCCCAAAAAACTCCCAACGCTAAGCCACAACGAAAATAGATCCCCAACCGCCCCCTGGTGATCTCTATTGAGCCCTGTTTAAAAATTTCACGGGACTTAGCAACTACTTATCACTGGGCCAGTAGCCCTGCTTATAATCCCTCTAACTGGGCCTATATGGGTTTCCTCAAATATAGGTCGGTTTATGAACCCAGCTTTCAGTAGGTACTAAATCCAACGAACACGAACCCCAAACCCTAAATGCTATAAACCGTAAACCCAAGCCCCTAATCCCTAGCCCCTAAACCCTGAACCCTAAATGTAGTTTCCATTTCCTTTTCCATTATCCCAATATATCCCTCATATTACCGCAATTGGTACCTATATCCCCTAAACCCTAAATATCCCCATTATGGTAGTTTCCATTTTCTTTTCTGTTATCCCCATATGATCCCAATATAGCCGCATTATCCCTAGTCCCTATCTTGTCAGTTTCAACTTGCAACCTAAATCCATAAACCCTACAAGCTAAATCCTAGGTACGGGGTGTTTCTTGTCAGCTTCAACCTTCCAACTGGGATGCCGGCCGACTCAGCCAATGCCCTTCTTCCGTGGAAGGCCACCCAATGCAGCGGAACGCCTGCAAAGATCTAGGGGTTCTTGGGGTTTAGGGTTTAAGGGTTTAGGGGTTTAGGGTTTAGGGTGCAAAGAATTGTTCCTGCATATGAGCTATAGCATACATGGTCTGAACTCCTAGCAGCTCCCTTAGTCACCCCTGTGGTGCTCCCCCACATAATCCCCTATATAACCCCTATTTAAGGAGTTTAGACTGTAGCTCATATAGCTCTGGCGCCCCTCTGCAAAAAAAAAGGTGCTTATACGGATTATGCAGATTATGTGGATTTTTTTGATGGTTAAATAGAGGATGACTTCTGGGTTCTGTAGGGGTTGTATTGGGACCTCTTCTCATGGAACCCGGCAAACATAGACAGCATTTGGGGGCCCCTAATTGCGGGGAAGCCTATATAGAACCGCTACAGTCCCATCACAGTCTCCCAGTCTCCAATTGGTTTGCTATTCGCTGCTAACCCCTACACAAGCCTTCCACCCTAAGCAACCCTGATCGTTTGAGAGCCCTACTCTTCACCAAGACCCTCTTAGTACCTCACTTGTTGACCATACGTTACATGGCCCCTAATACCGGGTACTTGGGGCTAGAGTAGAGAGAAGGTCTTCTTTTGGGTACCCTGGAGTTAGGTCGTGTATCTCACTTTACCCCTGGTAGATTACCTAACCTTATGGGGGCCCTAAACCCCAAACCCGGACCCTAAACCCCGAAGTCCTGAACCGGGTGTATGCAGAGACTCCTTGCAAAACTTACTGGGGGATAGTAGGGAATGAGGGAATACACTATATAGGCCTGAAGGGTTTCAGGTTTAGGGTAGGGAATAAGAGGACATATTGCACGGGGATTATGTAGGGATTATATCCCCTTATTCCCTGCTAACCCCTAGCAAGAAAAGC